GTTAAGTAAATTCATCCATTCATCCATCCATCACACAATGCCATTTTCAGCATTCTCTCACCAATACAATGCCTAAATAATTGCAAAAATAAATACGAAGTAAATATTACGTAAACATTAAACGTAAATAAGCATCACGTCTATTGCGTTAAGTAAATGGGATTATACAAATGCAAAATAAAAGATTATGTATAAGTATCACGTAAATAAAAAAAATGCAAATGAATTTGTATTATGCAAATCAATCAGATAATTAAAAATTGAAGTTATTACTAATAATGAATAGAAATATTAGATTGCTGTTATACTTTTTTTGTATGAATTTCTGATTAAATTTTGAGGATGTAATTAGATAAGAAAGGATATCAAAATAATTCGCTGAAATTTCAATTCAAAATACTATTTTAAACTAATATGTGATATTTATCTTATATAATTTACATAAAAATTAGCATTGAGAAAGTAAATCGAATATTGTTATTCTTATAATTTATACCATCGTTTCGAATTAGCATCAATAATGATATTTCTATGATAATAATGACAATTATGATAGTAATGATAAAGAAAAACTCGTTTTCAATATTAGATGTAAGCTTTTCAAAAAATTTTCCCTTCCTTATCACCTCATTGTGATAATATCTTTTCTTATCATTCTTTTCCCTCTCTTCATTTTAGAATAACTTTCTTTCATTTTTCATCACTTTTAGCATTGCTCTTTCTTTTTTTTGACTCACTAAATCACTTTACCTCTTAATATCACACCCATTTATCATTAACCTTTTGACCTTTCCAGTAATACCCACCCATTAGTCTTTCCCTGTCATCCTCTCCCCCGTTGATATCTTTCCGCTGCAATACATCAGGAAAAGCGCGCTTAGTAATAATTTGAATTTATTTGTTTCTAAATTGATCAAATGCGCATGTACCATTTCATGTGCTAATGTCATATGTATAATATATTTCAGGTTTCCTCAGCAAATTTTGCTTGACGAGCTGTGACATCACGTAATGATACTAAAATGTTTCTCACGTATATCACGTTGATGCCACTTGCATGCTACTGAAATGTTTCTCACGTATATCACGTTGATGCCACTTGCATGCTACTAAAATGTTTCTCACGTATATCACGTTGATGCCACTTGCATGCTACTAAAATGTTTCTCACGTATATCACGTTGATGCCACTTGTATGCTACTGAAATGTTTCTCACGTATATCACGTTGATGCCACTTGCATGCTACTAAAATGTTTCTCACGTATATCACGTTGATGCCACTTGTATGCTACTGAAATGTTTCTCACGTATATCACGTTGATGCCACTTGCAGCTATCACATAATTATTATTTCATAATATTTCTTGTTGATATTATGTATTTTTAGATAGGCGCTAAATTTATTGCGGTATTTTTATAAAATTTTTAGTAAAATATTTTTTTCTGTTTCAGAATATTTTTCTCTTTATTATGTCTACTGAATCGTTATATGCTGCAGTAAATGGAGTTTTAAAGAAACTAGTAGCAGAAGCGATTGCAACGGACAAATGTATAAAGGTTATTCATAGGATGACAAAGAAAACGGTTTCTCTCTTTTTTTTCTTTTTTTTTTTAAGATATTAGATATAAAAATAAAAAAGATTAATTTTTATCCCCTTAAAAATCCCATTAAAAATAACTTTATCCCTTAAAAAATATCCCAGTTGCATGTTGGTATTTCTTTTAAAGCCAAAAATTTATTGTTTATTGTATAAATTTCATCAACCGTTGCTTTCGGTTTTGAACTAATCTCAACTATTTTTAATAAAAAATAAAATATTATAGTACTACCATTATATAGTTTATATTTCCAGTTTACTAATCAATTTTTCTCTCTTTTTGTCATGGAATAATAAACGATAAAATTAGCCCTAGATTAATCTGAAGCACTCACATTTTAGCTATATTTATTATCTTTTTTTAAAGTCATTTTAAAAATTTTTCATTTTGTTCTTTTTGTAATACTTTTATTATCTTTAACAATTGCAGATTACTCCTGACAAAATGGAAGAAATCTTGACAACTGCAAAAGATCAACTACAGGAATCGGTGTTAAATGGTGTTAGTCAGGTGATTCATAACGATGAGGTAAGTCTAATACGACAAACTTGCTTTCCAAAATACTAGTAAAATCAAAATAAGGTCTATCAAAACTATAAAATATTAGCATCTAGATTCATGATCCTCTTTCTGAAATAATGAAATAATGTCTGGAATAATTCTATCATTTATATTGCGGTTTTATGTTAACAATTATAATTCCTGTAATTTCATACCTAATTTACATATGTTATCTAGGTCCTTGAAGGAATGATCAAACTGAAGAATCTTATTAAAGAATCATCAAAGGAAGATATAGGTAATGATTTCTATATGTATTAATCAGTAGGTATAGATGATTTTTTTAAGAAAATAAATGCTTTCTTTGAGATCTATGTTTTGATGTCTGTTCTCAGACATGATTAAGACGCCTGTCCGAAATATAATTAATAGAGAAAAGCTTATAAGTCGGTCAATTTTAACTGAATATAGCTTATTTGAATTGCATATTCTTTATTTCTTTCGTGTCTCTTTGTAACATTTATAAAGAATTAAATAAAGATCATAATTTCAGGATGGCGACCAAGTGGCATTCCATCTGATGATATTGCCGGCCATTTGCAACCAGTTATGTTTAATAATGAGCAGAATTTGATTTGCTTGAGAGATAAATTGGAAGCTGAAATTGAGGCAAGCAATATCTTATTTGCTCATGCTTTTGTCTGGAAAAAACATTGGTCTGCTGGGACTGCAAAGAATTTGATATTTTTTAAACTAAACTGTTACTGAAATTTCTAAACACTCTTTTTATAGATTCATTCAAAGTAAAAGAAAATATAGCACTAGTGGAAATTAGTAATGCTACTTTTTGATCTAAACAAACATTTTTTTTTCTTTTTCAGAAAAAACGAAATATGTACAAAGAAACTGAAGATAAAGCTCGAGCAATGATGCAAGAAGTATTACTTTATAACCATCCTGTTCACCCGCTACCATAAATTAATCTATAGTTTATGTGTAGATTATAAGTCATCATCTTTCATAGCCATTTTTATTCCTGTCCCTTGTTTAAGAAAATATTATTCAATTTCTGTTAACAGTTTCCACATATCTGTGCTATGAGACTACATAGCGTAGTTTTTTCATTCATCATATTCGAAATCGAATATGATGTAGAATGAACTGACAGTTGTATAGCGAAGTTCTGTTTTTGTTCAGTTTGATGAAAAACTTGAATGTATGTTCTCGAAAAATATTTTGCATAACTCAGTGGAGAATGGTTGATGTATTTTTGGCTTAATTGAGATTTTCCCATATTCCGGTCTATATATCCCTAAGGAAGCTTTTTAGCTGATGGAAAAATTTGTAAAAAACGATTCAATTCAAATATGTGAGTACGGATATTATGTTCAAACTCCTTTTAACTTATATTTCAGATTACTTATTGATTAAAAAATACTACTGAAGATACATTGTTACTTAGAACAATGATTGCGACTACAATATATCTGTCTTTCTTTTTTTTGCTTTCTATAAATGTAGAATTTTTGAAATCTTCATTGATTTGTCCACCGGGCTGCAGAATGATGGTCTCTGTGATAGACTATTAATCAGGAGCGGTTTAGTCAATTGCATAACTACCTGCTGAACGGAATTTCTAGAACTATGTAATATTTGAATTAAGCTGAATGATGATTTAATATTGCGAATTTAAATGATAATGATATATCGAGACTTCTGTAGAATTTGCACAGTAATAAAACATTGAAATATTCGTTGTTTATATTTCTTAGCCTTTGAGATGCTTTCTTTTTACGAATTCATGCAGAAAGAGATAAAATAGAAACCTAAGTGGACAACTTCAATGCTGTGGTAAAGAAATTGCATTATATAATTAAATTGTCTCAAAACTTATTGGTCTTTTGTTCCACTGCTAGAGTGCCATATCTCATCGATTGATTCTCATTGCAATATCAGAATGTTTCCAGTGTAAATATGAATTTCCAAAGAAATTGAATCTATTTTCTGGTCATTACTATCAATCAAGAGAATTTCATTCTTCTCCTAATCGTTCTTCACTTTTTATGCTACTCCACAAAACAACGAATCAGTCCATTTGTGAGAATTTTAATAGCATTTGCTTATTTGATACCAAAAACTAATAACTTGTTGATGTTGAAAGTCTCTGTGAAGTCATAAAGTGGGTGAGAAGTTTGCGATTGTCATGAGTGAACTGTATAATTATCAGATAATATGAGTCAACTAAAATTAGATGTCAAATACTGAAAAGGTAAAGTAGTGTCTGTGTGAAAACCATTCGCTCTGTGACATTGATATGGAAGAAAATATTAAGGAGATCAAATGCAAGGTCAACAATTGCAATCATTTAGCAATGATATGTTTTGACAAGCAAAATATTTGTAGTTAAACTAATAAATGAGATACGACAAAAGCAGATACGCCATCCTACGTAATTCACGTTTGTTTTTGACAAAATATTTTTACAAGAGTAAACACGTATAAATGATATGTATAATATATTTACAACTAATAGTACAATTTTTTGGTAAATAATTACAGTGTGAAAAATTAACAATCACTTATAAAATACGAATCACATTACCTGGCAATACTGGGCATCATAAATGAGATACAGCTTCTAAAATTTCCTTCGAGGTAAAAGTTTCAGAAGGTTAAAAAGAAGGAACGGAGATTTTTTTGGGAACTGAATATGAGCAATCCTAGATTCTTTCAAAGGGATGTGGATTTTTCAAACCTTCCTTGAGAATTTATAATGTTTTAGATTCAGACTCAATAATGATTATAAATTCTCAGTCTGACTTTTTCTGAGAAAAATTTAAGTTCTTTCCAGCTTGAATACAAATTACACACTCATTTAGAAAGAAAAACAATAGAAATTCAGGAGAAAAAACGTGACAAACTGAGACCTTCATTTTTGTTCTCTTCATCCGTATAGAAGCAAATATAACAGTCACTCAATAATCGCATCAAATCCGAATCGTTTTCAACATCATTCGGCAAATGTCCTTCCCGGTTAACACAATCACGAACTCGACACCAACCAGTATCACTCAACCAATTTGACATTTTTTCACACAATTTCACCTGAATGTCCAAAAAAAAATATGTCCATATACGTCGAAAAATAAACATTTGATGTGTTCAAACGTCTAATAATTGTGATTATTTTCGCTAAAATTTAAAAGTTATAACTAATAAACAATAAAACAACAATGATAAGACTCAATTCAATTTAATCTCTCTATAATGGATGGAAGCACTTTTGATAAATTGATTAATATAATCGTTCAAGACACATACTTACTTTAATCTGTCTAACTGTTAACGATTGAGATTTCGCTTATATCTGTGAAAGGAATTAAAAACGAAAGAACCTGTGGGACATTATAGCCATCGGAAAGACCCACTCGATCAGCCATCGAATCGAAAAATACCCATTTGTTAGTGTAAAGAGCATGCACGAACGCTACGTAATGAGAAGTTTCAATGCAAAGAACAGATGCAAGTTGAAGCTTCTTTTGTGGTACCTGCGTTCGTCGAGATAGTGACAAAGATGATGAAATCGAAAACGAATTACTGCTAATGGATAACTGTTGTGGTTGATGATCTAAACCATTGTGGGTTTGTTCATAACATATACCACAATATGTTACCTGAAATACAATTAATCCAACAGAAAGTGAAATCATAAAATTAATTTCAAACAGTGTAAAAAATTCGAAAATATATAAAAGATACATGAAAATAAAATTAGTATTCATTTCTATCAAAATCCTGATAAATCTTGGCTATAACACACAAAAATTTTCGAAAGAATTCCAAATTGTGAAAAATAAGCTCACCTCACCAATGAAGACCTCTCTTGTCAAGAAGCATTCAGGACACATCATATCGGCACGTTTGCCACAATTTACACATGGTCGTTTACCTATAAATGCATTTCATAATGAGTTACCCTTCTATCTAATTAAAAGTACCATTTTCATAAAAAAAAAAAAACGTTTGAGAATGATGCTTTTTGATTTATCTATGTAACTTCGAACAATATCTGCAAAGCTGAAAATATTGAAATATAAAGTAGAAAAACTTTGATAGGAGAAGACTATAAAAGATAGAAATTTAAGAAAACAGTATTTCGATCAATTAATTCAAAAAAAAAAATCATTTCAGACATCAAAACAGTTTACCTTCATGAATAAGATGAGTGATATCCATTTCCTGAGGTGGAAATATTTTGTCAAAAACTTTCTGTTGCCCATATCGTGGTAACTGAAGGATCAAAATTTTCGGTTCCTGAAATAAACACAAGCAATAAAAAGAAAAAAAAACATCTAAATAGGTTCATTACCTAATAATTTTCAACAGAAAATGCGTGATTCTCACACTGTCACCAAATCACCGAGAGTTCAGTCATTTGACATGCTCTCACCATCAATACCGAAACAAACATTTAAGACAATGATTCTCATATTATCATCCAATGGCCGAGTTTTCAATAATTTTAATAGTTATTAATGTCAAATGTAAAATTTTCCTCGTAAAGTGGAGATGGAAACAACATTTGCACGACTTACTAAGTAGCTCTGAACTGAACTGAAATTGAAATTCAGATGTGCTTGCATCTTGCTACAATACCAATAAAAAAAAATTTGGTGGACAGGGAATAAAAAAGCTACAAAAAGGGAAAAATATTATTATCAATAATGTATGGACCATCTTTCATCAGTCACTAGACCGAATTTCAGATATCTTATGCTTGGGTTAAATAGAAAAGAATTTAGAAGTTAATAAAGTAATGCAATTCTTTCTGAGGAAATAATTATTATCATGTGAAGTAGAAAGTAATACTCTAAATCCAATACTAATAAAAATCATGAGTTAAGTAAGAAACGAATTACTATTATTAATTATTAAAAAGAAACTTACACATGCAAACTGAATATTAGATGCAAAAAGTGATCTTTCGAGAAGTGTTTGCACACTAATTAATCGACGCTGTTTTTCGCTCCATAGATCTTCTGTTATTAATGGACATATATATGCCGGATTTGTTTTGCCATCTGTTGTGTTCCTAAATGATTATCCAATTCAGTAGATGAAAGATTTAAGAGATACAAATTTTTGCATTAGGTTAAAAAAAATTATAGATCCTAGAACGAAATCGGTTAGTGGATAAGTTTCTGTAGGAAAACTGTCAATATCACAAAAGTATCAATTCTAAAAAAAAAAAAAAAAGAATTCAAATTTCAGAACAAATTTAATAGCTAATAATCATTTAAAATTGTATTATTTCTAGTCCACGAAAATATGAGAAGTGATACCTCATTACAAGGAACGGTTCAACCCGCAATACTGTATTGAACAAGGCATTCAGTAACTCTTCAGGATCTTTTTCGTCAGTTGTTAAACCTTTCATTTTAGGCAACAGTACCTCCAATAATCGTCGTAATTTTAACACATGATCGGCTCGAACAAAATGAAACCTAAGCTAAGTTCAATATAACATAATCTTAATACAAACACTAATTTAAAAAAAAAAAAAAAAAAAAAAACATTAAAAATATAAAATATGAAATAGTGGAATGAAAAAGAAGTAATCTAATCAAATAACAAACCTTCGCAGTGGATAAACAATTTCAGTTTTCAAAATATCGGTGACTTCTGTATGAACTGAATCCGCCTCAGTTTCACATCTGCTTTCCAATATGCTGAATAAATCCGTAAATTTGTCGAAAAAACTCAATTTCTTTACGGACAGTATTACAGAAAAAGAGTGATATTTATATAATGAAAGCGATAAAACTTTTTCTTCAGACTTTCCTGCAGTTAAGAAGGTTTATAAATCAGAAAATGGACGAGGGTATTGCAGTGCATCATTTCTTCAATATTATTTATAATTAATATTAAAAATTACCTATCAAATGCTGAACACTGCGAAAACATAGCATAAAGCGTTGTGTCGAGATAGCAACTATTCCGGAAACCTTGAATACCTTTCATGCGTCCAAGCAAATTGTCGATATTTTTTACCGGTAAACACGGTCGGACTTCAATACCACTATCCAAACTTCCGAAATTTGATGACACCACTGAATAAAAAAAAAAAAAATCAACTGCATTTTAACTTTCTGGATGCTTTATTTCTTGAAGATTTTATATTATAAAAATAATGAAACTTTATAGAACTTATGTTTACTTGTTTTTGTTTCATAGTTATTATTGCCTTCAGGAATGTCCGATAAAGCGAAACGATCATCAGATCGAAGTGCATAATATGGCACTAAAGCTATTGAATCCGGAACAGCACTTGCAAAAACACCAGCTTTACGAGCATCTTCAAGTTGCATTTTATCCACCATGCGCCAATCGTATGGTAAATCTCCTTCCTTCGAAAGAAAAGAATTAGCACAAATACAATGAACAAAACGAGAGTAATATTTCAGAGCAATATGAAATAGCAATTTACACTTCTTAGAATATTGAAAATTTTAAAAAAATCCAATTTCAATTTACGTTATACAAATTACTCACAATTTCAACAGCAACTAAACGCTTGCTTTGAATTAACTCATTATTATTTTCGATCCATTTAACAACACCACAGCGCAACTCGTTCCGATAAAATACTTCAACGCATGATCCTAGAAAAATGACACTACTAAGTTATGATAATCCTCCAATTCTTACTACTTCTGATGGTTCTGTAAAAGCTGGTATGTGTAAAAATCTAATGATTTTAGACTTGCCTATCTAAGTTTTCGACTGAATTGGCTGAACTAGATATGAAATATCGGACTAATTTGAATTAATTAATATGTGCACTTCTTTTGAGTATATCTACACAATACAGTTACAAATTATGCATTTTATTACAGCATACTTAAAAACAAATCTAAAAAGGAAGCAAAAAGATAAAGAAGAGAACCTGTCGCAAACAATCTTACCTACAGTAAATTGCGGTAACTTGGATGTTTCCTCGTTTTGTTTTTCATTAACCAATAATTCTGGCTGTGAAGAAGATTTATTCTCACAAATTCGAACCGGTGCCGACAATGACGATTGTTGTTGTTGTTGTTGCTGCTGTCGTTGTTGTTGTTGTTGTTGTTGCTGTTGTTGTTGTTGTTGTTGCTGCTGTTGTTGTTGTTGTTGCTGTTGCTGCTGCTGTTGTTGTTGTGGTTCAGATAAAGATTGTCTTAGTCCAATGTTTCCAATATCCGAAGTATTATTTTCCTCATCATTCATATCTGCTTCTTTCATGCATACCGATATTGGCAATAGACCTGCATGATTTGGTGCAGAACGGAACAACTCAACACATTCAAAATATCCTGTTCCACCACCTATTGCTTCATCCTATAATATCGCAAACTCATTATGTCCTTCAGAAATGAATCAAATATTTATTATTATTATTTCATTAGAATGAAAAGTTATTTAGGGTAATTTATTCTATTTCTATTACTAACACTTTTTGCTATATTTCCCTCAATTTACATAGTCAATTTTTAGAGTCTTTATTGTCTTTCTATCATATATTATTTGGAAAAAAAAATATAATTTTAAAATTTCGAATTAACAATAATTCGTTGATAATAAAAATAAAGAAAAAATTCATCGGAAAGATAATGCGCTGAACTAAAAACAATTGACGAAAAAATACACACAAAGAGTTTACGAGAATATGAATCAAAAAAAAAAAACATGAAACAGAATGAGCAGAGAAACAGACACAAAAAAACAGATGTAACCTATATATATATATATATATGTTGTACTTTTGACGCAACTCTCAGAATCACTAGTTTTTTTTTTTTGCATTTCAGAGAAACAAATTATTCATCTGTATAATAACCTTTGGCCGAATTTTTCGAAAATATCCTCTATTTTCTAGAAAACATTACGGCAGAGTAGCACAAAAAACTTGTTAGTTAATTTTTCACCTCGAAAAATGCAAAGATGAAATTATGATTAAAGGTTATAATATTAGGAAAATTAACCAACAAAATAAAATGAACTAACAAAATCAACTCCAACGTAAACATTCGTATGTCCACGAAGATAACCAATCCATCGAGCTGTCCCTCGACGTGGTATACCTAATGCATCGAACCAGACCACACGATCACCCTCCATTAATTCTCCATCATTTGATTTTAACCTTAATTCAAACTTAGATTCGTTTCTTTTTAGGACTACTTGAGCAGTACTTGAGTAACCCTACTAAACTTAAAAAAAATCTTGAAATCATTTCAAAAGTTGCTTAGCTGAACAAATTCGTAGTTACTTTACATTTCTAACTGTTTCAGAAAATTACAATACGTATAAGTTTTTCGTCTCGTCAACTTTTTCTTTTTTTTGGCCAATATATACTTAAAACATTGATAGCTTCGAAAATAGTATATAATCTACCTTACTGTTTCCGTAGCCACCTGAAGCTTTGCTGGTCTAATCACTGATAAACTATGAGACGAGTCCTTCAAAAATGGTAGCCTTGATGACACATTATCATAAACAGGCTTTTTCGATAATGAAACTTTCGAGTTGATATCAGCTCTTTCTTGCATTTGATAGCCTTGATTAACATCCAAGCTCATACAACTAAAACAGGTTGATGAATTCAAGAATTTTTAAGAAAGTAAAGACACAACTCATTTTCCAATAGAAATTTCTATCGCTTTCGTCATTACTATCACTTTAATTGCATGATCAAATGATCGAGCAAGAAAATCAATGACGAATTAAACCACTGAAGTTTCAATCAATTGCTCATCGAAAGAAAAGGACACAAACTTATCATCCGTATCATCCACCGGAAATCTGCCAACGGCCAATGAAGTAGACGATGCTGGACAGTTTGGTCTTGGTGTTTGGCTATGACTATTTGTTGCTGATACAATTCGGATAGGAACTTCTCGAATCACTGGACGATTGAAAGAATTATTACTGCTACTGTTACTGCTTTCGAGACGAGTTATGGGAATAATAGTGCCTTCATTTTGAATTGATGATGTTGACATAGGGATACCAATAGTCTCGCGTTCTCTATGTCTGAATGAGAGTAAAAGTTTATTTTGCTATACAAAAAATATCACCACAATATTCAAACTTATTTGTATAAATAAATTACTTGTTAGGCAAATAAAATTTATAAAAATATCAAGTGACAAAGAATTTCAATAAACTTGCCGTAACGGCGAATAATCATCAGAATATCGATCCAAATGCGATGGAAAGCCATAAACGGAGAATGTTGGATCTTCATCCAAAATACTTATATTTCGTGGATTTCTCAGACGATCGCCACTTACCAGGACAGCTCCATTATGAGGAGCAGAAAATAGTCGCTGACCATTGAAAAATCCATCCATATCTCCAACAGCACTCTGCAAAATACGATTGCAAGTTAAATTAATGTATTTTATTTTTAAAATCGAGCCAAGATTTCTTTTCCTCCATGTCAATTGCAGCTCAAAGAAAGTTATCAAATAAGTTAATCTCATTTTATTTCCTATATAATCAGTTTTCTTTTTTAACCTATAACTTTCGCGATTGTTGTTCTATTACATCAACAAGCATAACTAAAGCATAGAAGAATTAAAGTTAATTGATGCAACTTATTCACCACTTATGATGATATCTTAAGTTAAGAGAATGAAGAAGGATAAGATTATATAGTAAAGGAAAACAAAAAAAAAAATAGTCTAGCAATTTTTTCAAAATATAAACTATCTGAGAATGAAAAATAAGCAAAAATTAGTCGATTTCATTGGTATGAAAAAAATTCAATGAATCATTTCCGGAAGAAACAACGAAAGATATTAAATCGGCAAAAAAAAACTAATAACACAGCGTAAACATAGAAAAGGATTTGGGATGATAGGGATAGAGTGAACGGAAGTTATCTAGTATCTTTGGTCTGCCCTCAACTAAGCTAAACTGGTAACAAGCTGTTTGGCATCGGAAAATCAATCAGGAAACACATATGCAATGAAAAATGATTGATTCAGTGCAAATGTATTAAAAGTGATCTTTTAAATAAGGATTATTTAGAAATGGAATTTTTAAATTCAGATGAAAAAAAGAGAAGTTGAAAAAATTGATGAACTAAAACTTTATGTCAACAGATGATTCACAGTTCATTTTTTTTTTTAGTGAATAAAACAATACTACATTTTTTATGGAAATTTTAAAAATTATGAGGAAAAAAAACACACAGAAAAATATTTGAAAATATCAAATTGAAATTAAATTGAAGAGAGGGAGAGAGAGAGAGAAAAAAAAAGAAATTTTTTTTTCTTCATTCACATCAATTGTATATTGTGATCACTAATCCTTGGCAATATTTTTCATAATACGAAAACTAATTGTTCATTCAATTTTAGTGTAAATATGACGAACACAGCTTCATTTCACTTTTATTTACCACTAAATCAATCACTTTTAACACTCTACCACAATTAACCATTAACAACAGCAACAGCTGATTCTTCTTTGATGAAGTAAACAAAAGATGGGAAATGAGTTTTGGGTAACTTCGATTATCAATTAATTACTTCATCACAATGTCTCACCATTGGTACAACACATTCCATAATGTCATTCATTCATTTTTCATCCTCTTTTTTTGCGTTTCCTTTTTTTTTTTTTAAAAAAAAAAAGACAATTCTTCATTTATGACCAAAAATAAAAATAAAACAAATTTTTTAAATTAGAAAAAAAAAATTGATTTTTATTGGATCAAAGCATAGAAATATCGAAAGATGGGAAAAAAAACAGAAATATTAAAATCAAATTTATAAACGATTTCTCTCCTAAAAGGATGAAATGGTAGAAAATAAATGGTGGAACAAAAAAAAAATGTATTCATGTGTCATTTGTTGAAAAAGATAAAATGAGAAGAAAGAGGGAAAAATGTACAAAGATTTTATGCACCACTGTATGAAAGGCAGTCATATAAACGATTATCAAAAAGCTTTAAAAAAGAGAATGCAAAAATTCCCAAAAATTTCATTTTAAATCCGAATAAAAGGAGTAAAAAAGAAATTTTCCTGTGACAATTGAAAAAAAAAAAAAGCAAATAAATCAGAGATAAAATAACTGCATCATGATTAAACCAAAACTTGTTAATAATTTTTGTATGCTTTAAATTTAATTTTGGATTAAAAAACTTAACAGCGACAATCGAAAGATTGGAAAGTCGGAAGTTAAGAACTAATTCAAAATTTGAAAATGCTACAGTAGAATAAGATATAATAAAGTATAATAAAATAAGTTGTATTGTAATAATGACAAATGATATAATAATAAAAATAATGAAGCATAGTAAAGTAAATTAGGAATTATAAAACAATAAATTCTCCATAAAATTTAAATAAGTTAACCCAAGCAATCCGATTCGTCAGTTCTAATCGGTAGGTAGATGGTTTGTGGCGATTATTCTATTTTGGATTATTAGTCTTTTCAAAAGTTGTTGTCATGAAAGATAAACTACCCTGATTAAAAATTTTTGATGTTTCTTTAGGAGTGAAAATTAGATCTAGTTCTTCCCGATAATCATTTTAATTTCCGACTGAAATGCACCGTATCCAAATTTGATTCATTTGGAATTTATTTATCTCTATACAAAACAATAAAATCAATACACAGTATAAAAAAGACTAATTAAATGGTTGATTTAGAATTAAACTTAAATTCACTTACCAATGATTATTAATAATACCTAATCGCGACCAAGGCAAAACCGAATTTCACAATTCCATATTCTCCAACTGCTTTTCAAGCTCATATTACAATGATGAATCAATGTTTACGAAAAGAAACAGACATAGAAAAAGAGGAAAAAAAAAGAAGCGGGGAAATAAATTTTCAAATTCTTTATGCTTCCCTAGGAAACTAAAAACTAGTTTAAGACTGAACTTGTACACCTGACTGAACTAGTATAGATCAACATCATGCAAATGAATCACTGATTTTTTACAAAAAAAATAGAAAAAAAAAGTAAAAATGAAATAAAATCATTGAAAGTAAGAAACGCATTGAAAAGCGGGTTTTTGAAATCCCACAAAAAGTATGATGTTCATTATGTTTTTAAGGAAAACAGAAAAAAGCAAAACATTGTAAAAATTATTTTAACTTCAAAGTTAACAAGCACTTTATTGTCGTTTTTACCAACACGATACTTAATTTAGCACATATTCACAGTGTTGAAAAGATACAAACACATTACACATTTAAAACACTCAATCTATTCCACTGTATAAATCAAGTTTTTTTTTTCTTTTCTAAAAGCCATAATTTTTTGCGAATCTCATATGTCATAATCACACAACTCATTTTAATGGACCAAAATGGTACTAAGTGAAATTGCTTTTGATTTTTTGGATTGAGTAAAACCTTCATTCGTCCTTTCATCATTCTTTTATTAATTTCTATTTCTATTAATTTTTCTTTTCACGCTCTCATTCACACATTTAATTTTCAGAAATGTAACCTAAAAATAGTAATCGCTATTATTCCATTAACACTAGCTTATCTCTTAAATCACAAAAATTTGAATCAAATGAGAAAAAAAGAAAGATAATTCGACGTTAACAATCCACAATTTCAATTTTCCTCTGCTTCCCTAATAGATTGAATACAGATCTACCTCATCGCCATTTAGGTATTTTTCTTATATATATATATATATTTTTTTTTTTAGTTAGGTAGAAGGTAGTGTTTCCAGCATATCAAACATCATTTTTCATACACCGTATACCAATATAAAAATGAAAAAAGTAACATCCTTACATCAAGACGTATACCAAATAGAAATCCACTATTAGGAACAGGTTCGCCAAACCATTCTACCCAACCTGGCTTGAAACATCTTTCAATGGTTCGTCTTTCACCAGTTTCGGGTTTGAGCTGAAAATTTTTTTTTATTAAATGGAAAGAAATGAATTGGGATTCGTAACTTCCAGAAATGTTAACAATTAATAATTTCAAAAAATGGAATTGATTTTACAGAAATTTCACGAAACTTCATTTTGTTCCAAAATACAACATTCTTTAAAATCGCTAACCAAACTTTCCTTAAGTTAATAAAACTACCTGCTCTTAACTAGCATAACAGGTTTCTGGCAATAAAGTAGCAAGCTGATCATTCTCTTGCCACCGCCTTATCAACGAAACAAGTCTTCATATCAGTCTATTCAATTCACCTTCTGATCATACTATCGATACTTGAGGTCATCTATTCTCTAGATATCAGAAACAATAAATCGTCCATTAAAACTTTTAAAAAGTAAGTTACTATCTAGTCTTTGTTCATACCAGGTGATAGATTATCTAGATAAGTCTATGAAAATAATCTTCATTACAAAAGTACTTCAACAACTAGAAATGCAAACCTGCACTAATACACGATCTCCCAAGCTTAGCTGGCTTACAAAATTAAACAAATCAGTATACTGATGAAAACGAAATCGAATTTCGACATCATTAACTGCTTTCAACAATGAAGTTTCAAAATCTGTCAGCAAAGCAACCTGAAAAACATAAAAAATGTAATAGTATTAAAATACAACCAAAATATGAAGCTTAAATTCACGTGATGTAATGCAGCAAAGATCTTTGTTCAGAAGTCCATTATAAAAAATAGAAAAAGTAAAATTAGTGAAAAGTTAAAAACCTTTGCCGTGGATACCCGTAGATAAACATCACCGAATTCAAGACACTTCATAAATAAAGTATCATTAGCAGTTGAATTTTTTACTTCGTTATGTATATCATTGAAACGTTGCATCACCAAATCACTTTCTGTCGCGGATCGTAATAAATGGCCCCTTTCCACCTTAAGAAAAACATCTAAATCAGTGAAAAGTAAGAAAGTACAAAAAAGAAATAAAGAATTGACTTAAATATCTTATAAGTGTTCTCTACAGTATTGTTCAATATGTACGAACTTGAAATATTGCAAAGTTTCTGTATAAAGAACAAACAAAACTTCTGCATTCTTAATAACGAATCGAAAAATTTTCCAGTCTATATTTGCTTACCAGTAAATATGGATTGGAAATTATTTATCCAAATTAATTTTTGTCAAACACTAGAAAAAACAAAGCCCGTATATGTTGAACAAATAAGTAAACTTCACTATTAGGAATCTAGATAATAGTAATTAGGAATACAAACTACTACAGTTTTCTGAAAATTGTACTTCATTCAGAAAAAAAAAAAAACTCGGACATCAAGAGTAATTTAAAGTGCTAAACTAATAAGCAATCCAATATATATATATATATATATATATATATATATATATATATATATATATAGTAAGAAAAGCTATTATATTTTTAAACAAATACTGCAATTAAAAAAGGAAAAAAAAAACCTTAATTTTAGTAGAAAATTGTTTCCTCCTTCGATCATACATACTACCGTCACAATTTTCAAGCAATAAAGACGTGATTAACGATGCAGATAAAACACAATGATCAGTAGTATCGCTTGTCATTACTTTTGGAAGAATCCTCAAATGAAACAAAGTAACATTCAGTCACATCAAATTTATTAATCTAACAAGTCAAATGTAATCATGAGAAAATAATTTTCTGAAGATTCAAAACTTTGTTAAGGCTTTAAAGAAACATTGAAAAAATAATATATACAAATATACACTTTATTAACTATATACTTAAGAGAAAGAAATTCATAAGTTTATTTTTCGCTCTTCTCATCTTTTAAAACCCAACTATATTTTGTAAAAGATTCGGAGATGCTCAATTACTAGGTGCACTATATTCCTCAGCAACAATGATCAACGTAATAAATGCTCGAAAGAACTTTTGTTCTAAATTTTTACCAAACCGATCATTAGTTAACATTGATATATCAACATTTTTTAATTAAAAAAAGTTTTTTTACAAACCTAGAACGGTCATCCTGCCCTTTGAGTGATAATGATAATGGCTTCTTTAGCAAATCACCAAATGGTATCTTTGGTTCAGTGGTAGACCCAGTAGGATGATGCAGTACACCACTAAAATATCACTTTAAATTATTCAAATCAAAAAACTAACTCACAAATATTAAAAATTAATTAATTAAGTAATTAATTACAATCATTAAAAATGAAAAATCAATTTAGATGATTTCAATAAATTATTTTGAATCATTTAAAATGATTATTTTAAATGTAAACATTTAATGTAATTAAAACTAACCCAGGTGATAATAATTCAGTATTCCGTAATTGCTCATAAAATCTTCTTATGCTTTCTTGCATAAACCTGCAAATACTTTTGTTTTAAAATTTCGGACTATTTATACACTTGAACATAGAAATAGTAAAATTTCGCACTACCTTATGTTATGAAAAAATAATTATATTCATATATTTGTGATTAGTTAAATGATACATTTGAATGATAATTTATTTCATTTCAATGTTTCAAATGAAATTTGTAACTTCTCTTTACTTTCTTACTCATTTTTAATTGTAATAGCATATCCAATATTTATTTGCTTTATTTATTCACTCAATTTGATGAAATAATTTAGTGTAAAGAATACAAATGGCATTGAAAAGCTTACTTAGGTGAAATGCAATTCATTAATTAATATTAATTGAGTAAAACTGAAGAAAAGAAAAGGAAGCGTAAGGTTATCCAATACGGCCCGTGGAATACATACGCAATTGATTAGTCGGTTGCAAATTTAGTTGTTTACTTTTAAGTTGTTTGCTTTTGAATTTAATGTTTGTAGTGTTTCGCTTTCATTTTTTCAATTTTTCTCAGGTATTTGTGAGAGGAATTATGTTTTTTGAAGAGATTCAGAGATTGATAAGATTGAGAAATATTGTAGTGTTTGAAAATAATGATGAGAGTAATAAAGCAGCAATGAGTGGTAGCATTTATGACATACTATATATATAGTTTAGAATAGTCCCTGGAAAATGTCAGATGGATGATAAGGATGATACTGATATGATAAGATAATATTAGGAATGACTATAAAGCTTATTTGATGAGAGGATAGAATGAGCATTGATTGATATTTGATTAAATGATTGGGATTTGATTTTTCGAAATTTCGAAACAATTTTCATTATTGGATATAGTATATTATAATGATATTTGTAGGATGAATGGAAGATTTTGGTGGTTAAGTCTTTTATCTAGGAAAACTATCCTGCAGAATCTGAAATCACCGAACGAAATTACTGTTCGTTTTGCTACCACACATTTTGGTTTTCAAGAAGTTGATGAAAAGGAGAAAAGTAAGAAAGGTATGACATTTTATAGTGTTTAAAGTCCACTTAATTGTTGTGATTTGATTTCATTTTTAACAAGGAAATATGTTTAATGATGGAGTAATATATTTATGTATGTGTGACTGTCGTGCTTCAGAAGTTTACTTAGTCATTTGGTTTTTTCGATGATTTGTAATAGAACAATTTAGTTTACTGAGTACTTTAAAAATTGAATGGTGAGCTAATCCATCTGGCCTGAAATATTTAATGAAATGGGCAGTGAGAAACAGCGTGAAAATAGGGTCTTATTTCTCTTCTGCCTATATTATTCATTTTTACTTAACGAAATCTTGATTCTTTCTTTTAAAAACCTTGCTTTTTACTCTCGACTGTGTTGATGATGCTAATGCGAATATTATTAATGACCTGCTTTTCAGTACATGCTGTATTCGCGAGCGTTGCCGACAAGTATGATTTGATGAATGATGCGATGTCGCTGGGCATTCATCGGCTATGGAAGGTTGCTTTTCTTTTTATTTCTTGTTTCCTCTAATTCCATCTTTTCTATTATTATTTTTATTAATTTTTATTCTATTATTATTTTTATTCATTTTTTAAGATAATTCTCTAATGATTACGTGTTCAGTTACTACCACATTCTAACTTTACTTGATTGTCCGATTTGAGAGTGAAAAGAAAAGAGAAATAAATGAATTCTATAAAGTACACTTTATGTGAATGAATGTTTCTGATAGTAATGTAGACTTTAACTATAAGAGTTACAATCATTCCAGTGTTAGCTACAAAATGAGAGACTTTGCAGGATCATTTTGTTGCATATCTAGGACTTACGGCAAATACCGCTATGATAGACGTTGCAGGAGGCACTGGTGATATTGCTTTTCGTGCTGTACGGGATATACAATCCAAGTACTACGTTTTTCTCATATATTGTAGTATAAATTTGAAATTTGATGCTTAATAATTCCAGATATATATTTCACTGTTCTCTATCATTTGATCCAGAGGATTATTTAGTTTTAGATGCTTCATTACACATTTCAACGTTATAATATACATATATACATTAATATAGTATTGTTTTGATATATAAATGTATTGGAAAATGTTTTCTTCTCACTCTTACTTTGCCCATAACAGATCAATGCGCAGATCATTGTCAGGAAGCATTTGCCCGTTATTTCAGAAAAGGCAAAGGTTCAGTGACTGTTTGTGACATCAATGAAAACATGCTCAAAGTTGGTCAACAACGTGCAATAGATGATCCATCAGTTTTGAAAGGTTTCTTATTACTTCTTTATAGAGTGAGTGGTAATGTAGGATGTTTTCCGGTTTAAACAGAATCTGTAACTAGATCTGTTTAAATGATTTGTCGTTATTAGTTGTTAAAACATATGTGTGATTTTTTACGGTTAATGATTGTAATTGTTTGAATATCATTGACCAGTAAATTGCAGTTTTTTTTTCTTTTTGAGTCATTTTTGTTACTTTTTTCTTTTTAGTTTTTGAAAGCAGTCTTTCTTATAATTTTTGCTTTAAAAACATATGTCTTGTCCACTTTGTCATTGTCATTGTTTTTCTTTATAGCTCGTACCTGTAATAAGGTCATATTTTACAAAGCTTCTTATTGACTTCAGTTTGAATTGCGTTGACCAGAAATATTTGAATTCTCAATAGTCTAAAAATGTTCAAAACTGTGACACAATAAAATTGTGCAGCTCGATTAAAATGGGTACGCGGGGATGCGGAAGCATTGCCATTTGATGAAAATTCATTCGATGTCTATACGATAGCTTTTGGGATAAGGAACTGCACGAACATTGATAAGGTATATTTGCAGATATCGGGTTTTTATTGGAATTATAATCTTTATTAATCGAATGGATTGTATATTCATGCTTGCATGAAGTACATTGCAATACTTAATTTCAAATACTTTAAACGTACTGTGCAGTAAAATATAAACGGCTGAAAATAATACTGGTGGTGTTAGCATACTCAGTAATGAAATCCTAATCAACTTTTAGGTACTCAGGGAAGCATATCGTGTTCTTCGACCTGGAGGCAAATTTGCTTGTCTGGAATTCAGCCATATAAATCCGTTGTTAAAGCAGTTCTACGATTTTTACAGCTTCCAAATTATTCCTATTATGGGACAAATTATTGCTGGTGACTTTCACAGTTATCGCTATTTAGTAGAAAGCATACGAAGATTTCCGGATCAGGTAAGTGGCAGATATTAAAAATAAGAATTTTTGATTTTTTCAAAGGTTTTTTTCAAAGAAAATTTTCAAGACTCGTTGATTTTCAGATATTAGATTGTATGTTAAAATCATTCTACAGTGAACTCCCAAAGCATATTTCAGCTGCTGCTGCTAATATTTGATTCTTTAGAAAAAAAGTTTTAGGATGAATACAAGCGGATGATTGAGGAGGTTGGTTTCAAGAATGCGAATTATAGAAATCTTTCATGCGGTATTTGTGCCATCCATACCGGCGTGAAGCGTGCTAGCGATCAGTAACGGCCTTTTACCATTTCTTAGTCTTTCTTTATTCTTCACTGTTCCACCTTTATTTCTCTTATGTATACTTTGCTATATTCTATATGGATAAAAGAAAATTCTAAATGTGATCTGCAGTGCTCATATTTGTATACTTCACTTTTTATTTCCAGCTATTTGCTTTTGCTCTCATTTGAACAAATTTCATTTTGTGGTTGGAATTTCAGGATTCAGTTTATCATCTGTTGACAGTAAATTTGGGAATTTGGCTGCATTACTTGTGGAATAATTTTGGATTTGACTAAATATATCAATATTGATTAGGAATATTTTCGCAGGCTTAGAAAACATGCATTCTTCTGATGCTAGTTTTGGGAAGCCTTTTTTGAATTGACTTGTTAATGTTTTAAAGCTATTGCAGAACTTAAAAAATGAGAAAGGCATATACGCTAATCGCATGCCTGAACTGATACGGTAGAATGACTGGATTACTGACCCATCGGGGTCTTATGTTTTGGATTGCACCAGTTCGATCGTTTTTTGCATCAGCCACAGCAAGGTATAGTATGCTTCTCCCAATTTTGATAATCTATATTTGTGATTATAAGTTTTGTATTTTCAGTGAAATTGATAGTAGGAAACAATTTTTAGATTACGAGAAGGAAGCGGTAATGTCTTCTTGAAGGATTTGGGTCGGTTAACAGTTGTTCAAACTCATGATGAACCATATATGCCGGGCCAAGTAGGGTTTTAAGTTTTTCATTTTGGTGACATTAGTTCTAATGTGTATCGGCTCGTTAATATGAGTGCAGTGTTACTCCTTTGAGCCGTTTAGGATATGAAATGCAAAGTAAGACCCGGATCTCAAATTATATTTTGAAATGATTTTGAACATTTTTGGCACTAATTTTTGTTTAAAATTTTATTGTACAGTATGCTTCTGATGAGTTGTTAAGCCGTGTTTTTGCAGCTGTTTATTCATAAACTCTTTCCCTATAGAGGTATTGTTCTATGTTCCTTTCCATGTCCTATCGAAGAAAAGCTGCTTAATCCAAGGTAAATTTTTCCGACTTTTCAAGCGAATGGTTATTTGTAGTTTATTGTTTATTTATTTTTTTTTTCATGTATTTTATATAATTCGCCTCACATTCCAAGCCTTTTCTCTTGATTTCAGTTCTTTTCATTATCTCTATTACTTTTCTAATCAATTCATAAGCCATTTGTAAAGGTTAACTTTTGTTGAAATCAACATTTTATGTGTACTTTAGTCATATTTAAAGTTCATACAAAATTTTTGTTTGGAAATTATAAATTACTAAAAACCTTTGATGCAGATTTCTTTTAAAAAATTTTTCAACATCTAGCTTATTTTTGTTTTCAGTAATGATGATCCTGTGGTAATAACGCACAAATCATTGTTTTATCAAGTGCTTATTCACTGTGGTGACTGGAAAAATATGGTATGTTTGAAATTTATTTTAACACTTGTACATTTAATGTATGCTCATTCAA